CTTACCGATATCCAGATGAAATATGTTATATCGAATGCATTCTGGACAAAGATAAGAGGGGATAAAAAAAATGCTGATCAGAAAATTTGCACCCGAAAAGTGGCTTTACAAATATAAATTCAATTTATAGTTGAAAGTATTATCATACTGAAATAATACAAGAAATATTTTGATAGAATGTGCATGAAACATTTTTCTATGTCTGGTAAAGTTGATTTAGCATTACAAAACACCTTTAGGAAGAAAAAGAAGCTAAATTTTGTAGTATTGTATAAACCAAGCCAGTCATACGTAGTTGAATGCCCTTGGAACACATAGTGCCAAACAGTAAAAATATCAATCATTTGCAGAAAATAGAGAAGGAATGCTGCAATGTACAGAAAAGGAAAACAGAATGAAAAGGTAGCGACTCAACCTGAAAGAGCGTGAAATGGATAAGATGAAGAACTAATTTAGGCCAGCTAAACCAAAAATGTCTGTCGGAGACTTGGACAAGAGGTATGCCTTGAACAACGGCATGTCTTTCTTGGATTTCAACAGCCATTTGAGTTATGATTGCTTGGAGCTTTGAACCAACTGCTAACATTATCTTTAACCAACCCATTAGTTAGCTTTTAAATCTAGTCGAAACTAATAGAAAGGACGGAAATAATATTATAACAAGAAAAGTTTACTATTAGGGGCATTATTGACAGCCAAAACAAAGTTTGCCATCCTGAAACATTGAGAAGAAGATAGACCACCGCAGATAACCATAGCACTGGACTGAAAGAAACACCAAGATATCAAGTGAGACAAGTAATATTTGGTGCTTTATGAATACTGAGAAAATAACAAATATAAAGAGGAAATAAAGCATACGTGATTCCTACAACAACTTTAAAGTCGTCTTCCAATGACCTTTTGATGTATTTCTGAAAATTAAACTTACTCCCAGGGGCTAAATGAACCTATACACATTTCACATTCAATGGGAAGTATTAATATTTTGGATAAAATATCTAACATTACACGAACATTTCTTTTGAAGAACATACTGAGATGAAGCCATGTCTCATTGCCAAATAGTCAGCTCTAGTAACAGACCTAAAGAATTGCCGGAAAAAGCAAACCTGAAATGGTTGAGTCCAGTTAATTCTTCACACCTAGTAAAATTAAACTGCATTCGCATAACAGTTCATAAAATCTGAGATGATGCTATTAAAACAATCGCCTGTTTCACATTTATATAATAATCAATCAAATACCAACAGTTTACTCATTGTTATTCTTACAGTGTAGAACAGGACGGGGGTTCTCGTCCAGAAACTGGTATGGTCTCTCACGAAAGATGTCTGATTTGTAAGCCTGAATCTAGAAGGATCTGCATAATACAGACACAGATGTTAGAAACAAAGTGAAAAACAACTCAATAGTACAAGCATGAACGAGGAAACATGTATTCAAAACAAAAATCATTATATTTAGTTCTTAGGAAAAAATACCATTTGATATTTCATAGTCATTAGCAAATTCTCTTTCCCAATGTTTCCATCCACGAATCTGCACGGTTGTTTCAAACAAAAAGAAACCAGAATACAAATAAGGCCAAATTCATTGACCACAAGAGAAAGTGGTCTCCAGGCTAGGCAAGAAATCATGACCAAAATTTGAAACCTTTTAGAATATTATGAAGTACTTGAATAAATGTTACCTTCAATCTTCCCAGCATCATCGTTATTGCACTATAAATGACATGGAATATGGCCAAAAAGAATATGAAGATGTGTAGTTGATGCAGCCCATTGATGGATATAAGTGGCACATATCCCTATTACATTAAAAAACACATTTGTTTAAAATGATCATGGAGTATACAAAAGATTGGTGTTTCACTAATGGTGAGGCAGTCGCAAGAAAATTTTAAATATTTCGCATTCAAAAATTTTAGGGATTTAGACCTAATCCAGTCACAAGAGCGATAATAAGCAAAATGAAATCAGAACAAACATTATGCCCTTAATGTGAGAGCTATGTCCACTCGCTACAGTAAATTTTTCAATATCAAGAAGGAGAAATACAGTGATCTCATGCCTCTTAGTCTATATATCTTCAACAAAAATGGCCCTTAGTAAATCTTTCATATAATAGGAGTATAAGAGCAACCTGATATGTGTACAAATACCCAATATACCCGTATAATAAGCCGATAAGAAAAGCGTAAAATCCAACAAAAAGGACAAAAGCATTAATTCAACAAAGTCACCCCACACATACAGGAAGAGCCAAAACACTAACGTTTTTTGCAGCATCCCAAGCAGATCAAATGTAAAATTTGACTGTGGCAAATCAATGAATTCTTACTTTCTTGCATTCTTTGGCTGAACTATCTGCTGCCAAAATTCTATGGTCATACCATAAGAGCCTTCTATGTGACTCACTCTTATGTTCAGGTGGTTCTTTAGAATGTCCTTGCTTGGGGCATGGCAACATAGTGTCTCCAACATGTTCGGGAATACAGACTTGGGCAATGTAGTTCTGCCCAAAGGTCAAAAGTAGGGAAATGAAGCCTAGAACCATAAGCTCTGAAATCATGAATTGAGAAAAGAAAGGGAAATCAGCAATCAATGTAAAGGACACTTAATGCATGTTTGGTAAGGACACTATAATGAAAGTTTTATCTTTTCCTTTCGTTTATGATGTTTAGTATTGTCCTGTCCAATACTCGCCACCAAACATGCTCTTAGTGTAATAACTTGTAAAAACACCAGCAAGGATGATTGAGCTCTTACCCCCTTTAATTTTCTCTAGAGCTTCAACCAATGCTTTCTTCTTTCTTTTTTCAAATGACTGGAAAAAAAAAAAAAATCAATAGGGATGAAAAGAAAGCCATAGTAGAAATTTTAAAAATACAATTTTCGCTAAACCAAATTGCCAATAGCACACACCTAGTGAAAACTATGACTGGACCAATGTGGAAATCTATTGTAAAATGACCTTATTAAATTCAACCACCTCGTCTAAAAGCTAAACTATTGAAGAGACGACAAATCACATCTAATCATTGAAATAACCCAAGACTCTCCTTCGTTCGCACCATAAATATAACATAGCAATGAAAAAAATGAAAACGAATTAACATTTTTGTTTCCTATATCGTAATGCTTAAATTTTTCATCATTAATTCGAAATATTTTAGCTCCCCTGGGTTGAACAAACTAATTCTCATTAATTTTTCGTAAATTTCACTGTCCCATATGATTCCAATCCATACTTTCAAGGAAAAAGGTCAAAATTAATCATATTTCTCCCAAAAAAAAAAAATTGATCGAACTTTTTTTTCACCAAAATTTCCATTTTACATCAAAAGGGTAATATTTTTTTATTATTTACAGAGCAGGAAAAAAATAGAGAATTATTCAGAATTACCGCTCCAACTTTATGAAGAGTTTTCTCCAATATTATAGAAATGATAATGATCACAGCCGAAACTAATGCAACTGCCCATGTTGGTGTCTGATCTAGCTCCCTTGCATGTCTCAATCCTCCTCCTCCCGCCATTTTTCTTTGTATCTATATATTATATATACAATCTAGTAAGAAAATCATATCTAAGCAAAACCCACTTTTTTATTTCAATTTCTAACTAAAAAAGGAAGAAATTCAGATTATGATAATGAGAATGGCAGGATGAATGATGGAGTTGGTTTCCGAAAAAAGAAAAGCCGGTTCCGGGGGGCTTTGAAATAGAGGATCTGAACTGGGATGGTACGGAAGAATTGACAGTTGAAGAATAGGTATAGAGATTTGGCGCCATTCAAGAACCTGTTAATGAGAGTGTTAGTAGGAATTTAGTTAAGGAGAAAATATGGCCTCAACATCGAAAAGGGAATATTATGGAAAATAGTTTTAATATGTGTTTGAGCCACATTATTTTGGAAAAATGTATTCTGAAATAGTAGATTCATGGAGAATGTGTGATAGAAAAAAAAAAAGGAAAAGTTATTGATGTGATGAAAAATATTATTTTATTGAAAAATGTGTAATTGAAAATGAGTAGAAGAATGAGAATAAAAATTTTAATTTGGTTCAAACAGGGGCTTTTTCTTGTTTGGCAAGGATTAAAAATAAGTTGAGTTATTATTAAGTAACTTTTTATTTCTCAAATAAGTTAATTTTTTTTTTCTAATTTTTGAATCACAAAGATTGGTTCTTTCGATTAGTTTGTCTTGTACCATTTTTTTAATATATAAAAGTATATTAACAAACGCATGAATTTATTTGGAAATCTATATATTATAAATTTAGTGACACAACTAGGAAATTGAGACGTAAATAAAAAAAAATGTTAAGCTAAAAATTTAAGAGAGCTTAGCACAAATTAGAACTTACAACACAATTATTAATAAAATATAGCAAATAATTATACAAAAATTGAATAAAAAATGGATAATTTGACCTGAAAAGTCAAAAATCGAGAAAATTATTAGTTAAAAGGAAAAGAGATTATATGATTTTGAATTAAAATCTAGATTTAACTGTATACTAAATTGTGATAGATGGCCGATGAATATGATTCATGCTAGAGGCTGGTTCCTAAAAGGATTATTAAGAATTTGAAACCGTAATTTTATTCTACCAAGAGCAATCAATTAACAAAGATAAAGACATTCCAAATTTATAGAGGTTAGCTTTAATGTGAAATTACGTCATCTTCTGCCGTTGTAGTAATTCATTATGATAAAAAAAAAATTACAAAATAAAATCGCACACCAATCCACAAGCATGTTAGAAAGCATGAGGGATCAAAAGTAGTATACATGACATGTAACTAAACAATGATGCATAACATCAATAATATTAGTGTTTATAGGAGAAAACGTAACCATTATCCAATAAGCCATAATTGATGTAGAAATAACATTCATATAAAATCACTTTGCAACGTACCAACAAAATGAGACATACAACCTTTCAAAAATGAAAATACAAATGGAAATGGATTATAGGAAATAAAGATTTTAAATGAATGCTGAAGAACCTAACCAAACTAGGAATAACACAATACACACTAAAGCATCAACCGAAAGAACAATCCGCACTTGATGACACCAATTCTTTTGCAAGTTTTGAGAGCTGGACCTTCCCTCATTGTTCCAAATACTTATGTAATGAGAAACAGTTGAACCTTGATCTTTTGAATCCATAGCTTCTGAATTATCCTTGACTTCCTCCAATTCAGTATGTCTCATAGCAATTACATGTTCCTTCATTTGCCTTTTCTCATGCTTCCTAGGCTTTCCCAATAAAAGGGCTTTCGTGGAAGCACCGGTGCCTATCTGACCGTTGGCGTTGTTACATGGCAAACGAGAGAGTTCACTAGTCTCAGCTGGCCATTCAGAACCTTAACTGAGAGGTACTCCAATGAGGCAAGCAAATGGTGAATAGCTGGCACCAACTGTTCTTGTAAACACACACAATTCAGATTAGACATAGTCTTTATTTGAATCTATTTTAGCCATCTTCCTAAATTCATCCTTCAAATTTTCTAGAAACCAGAGAATGCCTGGGTTTCCAAGACTCTTTCACTAAAGAAAAATACACAGCCATCCACCATCACAAAACTATGCCTCTTTTTATCCATGGTCTGAAAGACTGAAACAAGAGAAGATAAACTCAGTGTAAGTTGTATACAGGTAGGTCGGAAAAGAATGGCATATATGTGCTGAAAATTAAACGGCAAGATGCATTGTTAAATCCTACATAACATTATGAATATTTTCATCATTCATCAGAAAATAAAGGTCAAATTATGATTAAAACATTAATCATCAGAACCAAGAAAATTTGCAACGAAGCAGACGAAACAAATGACATCATTATAGATGACGTGTCTATTAAGGATGCTGAAGACTTCAGATTCTGAACACAAAATATCGACATCAGTAAATCTTGGTTCAAACAAATATACAAGGCATTATATCACAAAAGAACACCATGTACTATATAAAATAAAAGCTTGTTTTGATAATACAAGTGTAAGAAAGACATGGACCACATGTCATGTGCATCGCCTGTTTACAAGGAAAGTGGCATCATGTTCAACAAGTTACGGAAACTTCACAAATTTAAACTTCAATATCTGACAAAAAATTCAACGAAATGAAACCATATACAGTTTTCCTTGTATATTTGTACCAAAATGATTATGCAGAATAACATGGACAGACCTACAAAAGAATTCCCAGCAGGTTCTACTCATATACACCAAGCATTGAAATCCCCTGAAGTTTGGTAACCACTATGCTTTCACGAACATCTTGCCCACCAGACTCAACTACAAACCAAGACTAGGTGAGCTAGAACTCAATAAATAACGGTATGAATGCATAATCAATGTACATGTTTGGAATGATTAAAATATGCTACGAAGACATTTCAAGCAAATAAAAGAAATTTTTGTACCAAATTCATCATGCACTAATCTTTTTTGAATATTTTATTCCCTTATATTTGAGTCTTTTATCCTGCTACTAGACATTCCCACAACTATATCATTGTGGTCAAATCAAATCATAAGGTGGACTAATGATCCACGTGCCTCGTGGAACAATAGATATCACCACATCGGTGCATCACTCATGGTTTGTGGACTAATAATCCACAAGCCCATGGAATTAAACATAATACACAACTCAATGCATTCAGTGACCTAGTAGTGGATAAATAAGACGTCTTCCAAAAGGTCCAAGCACATCACTTGAATATTCACAATGCATCAGAATCTCCCATCTCTCAAAATATGAATAAATAATATATCATTCATATTCCCCAATCCATATTGCATATAACTCAGGTATCACATATCAATAGTTAAAGCACAAATACATTTCCTTAATCGTATGAAAAACATGCATGAGGAGTCACCTCATTCACATTGTACCAAGTCTTGCCTTAGAGAATCTTTACTTACCTCGGCTATAAAATGAGACAATATAAGTGAAACAGTTCTTGAAGCCTTAACTAGTCAAATCTCCTGTTCAACACAATCAGATAAAATCGAGATTTCAATAATTATAGCACAAAGATATAATCCATCAGCTTTCATTTTTCACAGATCAATTATTATTTAGGTCTACTTAGATCTCCATTACTTAAGTTAATCTAACATTTAAAACTCATTTGGAACCTCAAAAACTGCCACTTTAACATAATATATCACTAATTAAGGTTCCAGACTCTAAATATGCCAAATGTTTGGTAAAATAAATGACTATTGATATTAAAAAATGTAACAAAGATTCAAAAATTGAAATTCCCTCAACATCCCAACCCAATGCAGACCTATGCCACAACACCACCACAACATGCCCGCCCATCGCTAGTGCTACCACCACCATGTGCTCATCTTCCACCACCTTCATGGCCCCAACACACCACCACCACAAACGTGTAATAATGTCATAAACACCACACTCTGTCACCAACAAACACAAGTTCACGACCACAATATGTAACACAAAACAAACAAATTAAACCTCAACCACCCTAGACTTTCTTTCTTTTTTTTTTTTTTTGATAGGTAATCAGAAAATTTTATTAATCAAAAAAGAATACACAGAAATTGTATTATCAGTTTAAACAAAAAAGAAAATATATGAAGTTAGGCAGCCCCTCTATAGGATTACTAATCGCTGCATTAAACAAAGTATACACAGTCAAATAAAATAATTCTCTAAATTGTTCTGTGGTCCGTATTTGGTTTTCAAAGCATCGGTTGTTCCTTTCCCTCCACACACACCATACAATGCATCCCGGGATAAGATTTCAAACTAACTTGCTATCCTTATCACGAAATTTCCTCCTCCATGCACGCAACACGCACCCTAGACTTTCTTTGGCAACGCAAATCATTGGGACCAACAATTTGAGAACTAACCAGGGGGATTTCCCCCTGGATTGGCATTGCCTCATGGTAAGGGGCAATGAGAGGTTTTTTGGAGTATAGGAAAGTAGGTTTAGTAGATGCCAGTGTTAGCGATGGCGGTGTGATTGCATTGGGTGATGGTGGTTGAGCCAGTTGGTATATGGTTTTAGATTTTGAAGATGTTTTTAATTTGTGTTTTTGATTTAATATAATTTTGATATCAATTTTTATGTACCCATAGAGGCATTGTCGTTGGTGGTTCTGGCAGTATTATATAGGGGTATATGGGAGGTGGTGGGTTATTTAGGTGCGGTAAGGTGGAGAAGATGGCCAATGCGATTTTCTTTTCCATTCATTTTTTTTATAAATTTTAATTGAGATTAAATTAAGTGACAAGTTTGCCTTTAAAGATTGGGTAGGTGCAGTTCACGTGCACAAATTATGGCCTTTTTGGATGTAAATATATCCAAACATTTGGGAGGGAGTTAATAAAAATTAAAAGTCCAAATCCAAAATATCTAAACTTACAACAATTTTTCCCCATTTTCATTTTGCTATAAAGAAAGAAATTACTTAAAGCCCCACATACTTGAAACATATTAGGTAGAGAAGAAAAACCCTCAATGTTCATAAATCAAAGATTGTTAAGCAAGAGTTCGAAGGTTGATAAGGAATCAACCTTTGCAAAAGTTGATGACTCCTTTTTAATCACCTATAGCACACTATCTATTTTGCAAAGTTAACTAAACATTGCAAGAGAGGTGAGAAAATTATCAAAAATGAAGAAAGAGGAAATTTGGGTTTGAAGTTTGGAGAAATTGATGTAGGAATTGGTGAGGATTTTGGAATGTTTTGAACAAGTGGATATGTATTAAGTTAGGGCAAGAAAATGGAAAAAAAAAAATAGTTATGCACCATAGTGATAAAAATTATCTTCTACCACAAATAACATATAAACAACTAGACTAAAACATACATATCCAGTACATTAACATTCTTAAAAAATTTGGTAGCTTCATAAATTGTCTATTGTCGAGTTCGAGTCAAATTTACTATTATATTAATCAATCACTATATTGAATGAACAATATCCATAACATAATAAAACATTAACCAAAACAAAAGTAGCCCATTTTCCATCATATGTTAATATATTGACTTGTCAAGTCAAGTCAACAAAAATGAATTAGTTACCAACCACCATACGTGCAATTATTACTATCTAACTCAACGCATATGCAAAACATAATGCATAAACTTAATAATTAAAATATGATGTCTCGATTAAATGTGAATGGTCATAAATCACAGATTCAAAATTATAGCACATAATTTGGAGTAAAGCACAATAATTATGACACCGATATTAATGTCAACGACATTAATTGTTAAATAGCATGCCCGACATTAACAAAAGATTCATATAGCATAGGTTGTATTAGATGTTTTAAGTGAAATAGGCTTTCTTATTTCTAGTTGAAAGGGTCAACATACTCCATTCCAGAGTCCTTTGTACATTATGATTCCTTGCCATAAACATATAACCTCTATCATTTTGATCTCAAACTTGCTTGGTCTAATGCTCATTTTAAGCTTGGTTAGAAATTTATGAACCTAGTGGCAACTTAGATTCATTCACAATCCTACGTGCGAGAATAGTTGACTCCCTTAAGTTTAGGTATCAAATTTTGAAAACTGATCATCAGAAATTCATATTGTTGTATTAAAAGTAGAAGATTATTATTTTTTTTTAATCTTTGCAACAACTTGCAATTATTTCTTTCCAAACTACATTTACATCTTTGGAGGAAAACAAAATGTAACATTTATGACATATTTCTACAATCTAACACATATATATTCACATAATCTAAAGTCATAATCATTTTCCCAAATTTGTAAAATCTCTAACCATATTTTATTTTGATGGCCAGTATTTAGAATCCAGGTTGTAAAAATAAACATTTAAACAGATTTCCCTGATCCAATGTAGATTATGATTACCTGCCCCTATTATTTATACCCTCCCTCATGAAAACATAGAAAAATCATTACAGAACAAAAGCATGGGCAACTTGAATGATGACACAGTTCTTGAGGTGATCTCGTGCTTCCGTCCAAGAGATGCAGTTAGATGCAAGAGCCTAAACAAGAATTTCAATGCCTACATCTCTAATCAGAGATTTGCACATGAGCACTTTGTTAAATCGAGTCACAAAGTGTGTAACCTCATTCACTTCTCAAATACTTCTCCCAATGTTTTTTACCAACTTCGACTAGACCCTCCCTACCCTTTTGACATGTTGGAGATTTATGAAATCCTACCCATTCAAGTTCCGATCTTGGCCTCATGTGGTGGCCTTCTTCTCCTTCACGTTTTAAGCTACAAGAACTATTGTGTTTTCAACCCTATTACTGGGGAATTCCAACTGGTGTCAAAGGGAAATCATGATGGTTGGATTGCCGGACCGGTTGGCTTGGCTGTTGATTCAAGCACTGATTCATTTACAATCAGATTGATAGCAGTCCATGTAAAAGAAGACCAATCCCAGGTGAACCAAGTGTGTAAATTCACAACATTTACAGTTGGTTCAAACAAGTGGGAAGAAATCCATATAGAATTTGTTTGCAAATCAAGTAAGTTGAGCAGAAATACTCAACCTGTTTACTTCCATGGCTCACTTCATTGGCTTAGAGAAGATGGCGATATTCTCGCCTTCGACATAAGAAAGTGCCAAGCTAGAATCATTCAGGGACCTGGTAACAAAACCTCTATAATGCAGTTTGGATATGACATATGGTTTGGTGGGGTCCAAGGTTCGCTTGCATTCGTGAGTGCTTTTCAAGAGGAAATTGTCATCTCTGTTTATCATTATGAAAACAAAGAGTGGCAAATCAGGCATATTATTGAAAATATAAGTAACACAAGAAACAATAACTACAGGAATGGTATTCCAATGTTTTTTGATGGCAAAAGATTGTCTTTTCTTCTGAGAAAGAGAGGAGAAGATGGAGAGATTTACATGCACAATATATCGACCAAGTCCTGGAGAAAGATAGGACTGGTTCCGGAAACAGCAGATTGTATTCAAAATTTTATTCCTTTTGCTCCAACAATGGCAAAGGTCGCTGGTGTCTATCTCCATGACCAAATGACTCAGTTGAGTCTTGCTTCAGAAATTAAAGAGAGCCTCAACGGCCTGTATGAACTGATGAAGCCAATGTAATCCTCATTTGATTTGCACTTATTTCTTTGAAATGGATTGCGTGCGACTGGCACATGCATCTTTTAATTGGTTGAATTTATTTGCAAATATTTGCATTCACAAACAGTAGCAAATTGTGGTTCAATGTGTTGGACTATAATCTTATTTATTAATCAATTTTATTAGAGTGGAGCTCCCTACGTATGGGAACTCAGTGTTGCGGGCAATGCGGGATATAGCAGAAGTAGACTAGCTGTTATATTTATCAATCATTCAAAGACATATAATTGACTTATTGGAGTTACAGTGCAGATTCAATGATTCATCCTATGACTTTTATGAGAATTGGCTTATTAACAGGTATGACCCGTATATATTTGATATTAGAAACAAAAATTTAAAAAGTATCTCCTGAATCATCCTGAAGTGTAAGGGGAAATATCAAAATTTAGGATCTCTTTGAAGTCCTGAGAGTCATGAAGAATGACACTTGTGAATCTAATTGGTTCGTAATAAATGTGAACCAGTCAATTCCTTAATAATACTTATGAAATTATTCCAAGAATTCCGCACTATTACAAAATAAAACTGAACTGTAGCAAACAAAGGAACTCATGAATAAATAAGCACGTCTCTCAACTTGAACATCTATTTATGAACTGCTCAAAGCTAACCAAAGAAGCATCGTAAACATTTCTTAGAATTACAGATTTTATATAACCTGGCCAAACGTGTTTCACTCAAAGGTTCCTAATCCCTTGGCATTCATATAAATCAATATGTTAAAGCCCTTGCGTTTTATCCTTGTATCATAACAATCTTGGAGTTAAAGCCACAAACTCAAAGAAAGTTGTCAAACTTCCATCACTCACTTGGGGAGGCTTTTCAATGATTTTCCTACAACTACCATCAACAATATTTTTTACAAATCTATTAAGAGTATTAGGCTCGACATTTATCTCTAGAATGTTACATGTAACGAGCTCTTTCCTCTTGATGGGATATGCTCACCATGCTTGCAAATCACAAGACGAAGTACATTACTCATTGATTTCACCTTTGATATTTTCAACAGTGAGGTAAGGTTGTTCCCAGGTGATCATCAAATGTGTGCTTTAGTCATACTTCCTTGGACATGTTACAAAACTAAACTCCTAATAAGACTTAAAGTCTGCCAAATCAATAGGAATAATCCATCATTATTTTATTTTATAATATATGCTTAGGAATACCAAAACGTGGAACAATATTACAAACTTAAATTTACAACTATAAACTTTTATGATAAGTGTTTGCATATATAAGATGTTCCATGTCCCATGGAAGTATTTCTATTTCGTAAAGTTAATGCATCTAAAGGTAATAAAATCACAATGAAGAGAACTTCATAACTTTCATGCTTAACAGGGCGCCTTGCTGTGGCTTATTGCTCCTCCTAGCTATGCCATACATGTACAAAATGCATCAGAAAACTTAAATACATAACAAACTAACAAGCAATTCCAGAACATTAAGAGGTTATACTTGCATTATCCACGCATTTATCTAATGCATTTGTTATCACGGTTTTTTTCTGTTGGCAGCATACTCATTCAAGAATTTAGAAACCATTTTTCCTAACAAAATCAAAAATCATAATCTGTAGCTCATTTGCCCTTAGCGAGCGAATCCATTTCAAAGAATAATGTCGCATCTATGAGCTATGGCCTAAGACCATTGTTTATTTTCCATCTAAAAGACAAATGTGCTTCCTCTGTTTATAAGTTGTCACTTGGTCCTGGCAAAGTATGCTGATTCCCACGACTTCATTGTTGGACAAATACATCATAATATGATAATTGCCCCAACCGAATGACTCTCATATTCCAAGAATCACATTGTTTGCTAAACAATTTAGTAAACTACCAATCTGCTCAAGGTACATTATTCACTGAATACCACGACCAAACACTTGAAAAGGTGTTTAAGGAATTCACGTTACATTCTTAATCCCAGAGGTCCGAATTGCCAACATAAGAAATTCTATAGAAAGTCATTCCATGTGATATTAATGTAATATGCACGAAATGCAATGCAATTTTCTATATCATTGATATAAACCTGGCTAACAATTGCGTTAACAATGATCATCAATCCAAAAATTGCCAATCAGAGGAAGAAGGGAAGAAAAAACTCATCTGTTGGAACGTGATTCACTGGGACTTTTCTTCTCATCCTCTCGCCCGCGTGTTTTACTGCTTCATCGCCCAATATTATGCACAAAATCTTGTGCTGCAAAAATGTCCACTTTTGGAACCAAATTTTCTTTAGAAATCCTCAAGCAGTGATTTTTATAGAAATGCAAGTAGAGAAAGATTATTTGAATTTGACGTTTGAGGATTTGAGCTTTTTTTTTTCTGTTTCTCTGTCTCTTCAGTTTGGCGAGGTTTGGGTATAAAATGGCGATTTTTCTTAAACGGCCCTTTTAAATAATGGCTTGTAAAAAAAAAAAACTCAATTATCTTTTCTTTTAAAAGATTTATTTTTAACATTGTCATTGACCATATTATTTCTTCGATTCATCGACTACGACTAGTTCATCAAACCATAAACCCGTCACATCCCATTCAATTATTATCGCCACCACTTTCTTGATCGATTCGTTTCATTTTACCTCCTTCGTTGCTTGATCTTCCTCCATTTTTTGTCTTACTCAACCCTCAAGTCAAGCTTCTAAAGGCATGTTTGATATGACTTTTGCTTTGACTTATTGTAAACAAACTTTTGAAGAAAATTACCTTAATTTTTGTCTGAAAACTAATTTTTAAAAGTGTTTCCTAAAATCACATTGGACCAGATTCTCTAAAAACCCATTCAACTAGAAGAAGCGAATAATATTATTTATTATCATGATGATTGAATATTGGTGATGTAACAATCTATATAGAATTATGTAATTGAATAGTTCAATTTTTTATGAGAGAAATGAGGGGTAGAGAGGAAGATAAATGTGAGAATTAACAGGTTGTCACATCATCGATATTTCATCATCATTGTGATAAAGAGAATTATTATTTTCATAAAATTAGTTAAATGAATCTAAATGCGACTTTTGAATTTCAAAAGCTCATTTTTACTTTTCAAAAGTCACGTCAAACATGCCCTAAATAAGACGTAAATGGAGTAGGAAGTCAAGTCAGAGGAAAGCTTGTGATAAGATTTGAATATTCATCATAGTTTCAAGAACTTTTTTGTTGGGAGATTGAAATTCTTTCTTTTTATTTTTTAAGGAAGAAAATGAAAAGTAACTTTTTTTTTTTTTTTGGTTGTTGTTCTTTCCTTAGACGACTTTCATGCATAAGAATGATGTTTATTTGGAGCGCAAATCAAAATTCAATAAACCCAAGTTCGTACAATAATAACTGGTTGAGAAAATTAAATGCTGGTACAAATGCCAAACCCAGAGTGACGAGAAAGTAAACCAACATAGAGGTGGTTAAATTGTCAAACCGAAAAATCAAAATCAAAATTTATGGATGAATAAGCACACATGTTAATGATCAGCTAGCTTTAAGTGAAAATTACATGTACCCCCAAGAAAATGGAACTAGAATCTCTCCGGTAGTAAAATTTCATAATCTACCAGACAAACTTGTAAAAGTTTCCACTTTATTGGCTTCTACATAGATAACGGAAGAAGCATCCTTCGCTTCTTCTTCCGGGCAAGTCTTACGTGCTTTGCAATTCTCATGCATAAGAGTAATAGCAGGGTAATACATAACAAAATAAGAGCAAGCTTCAAATGCCTAAAATATAAGGAAACGGCCGAGAAAACAAGGAATGCTAATGTGAAAAGTTCCCATATCACAAATATTGCAACATCCACTCTGCACGCACAGAAGAAAAGTCAGGACACATCATAAAGCATATCAAAAGATACAATTTTTTTAAAGGTGTAAAAACAATTGAGCATGGATAATAACATAAAATTCAGAAGGCAATATCACTCTTATAAGCTAGATTTTATGAATACTATCATATAACTTTTAAATAGTAATAGCCAATCACAACAGATGAACAGAAACAACATTTAATTCAAATGCAAGTTGCATACAAATTCCTGAATTGAACAATTAAAAGTTCAAGACACTTAAAAAATGAATTAATCACGGTGACTTTTTACGATTTATTATGTCATATTATTAGAAACTGATTCCATATCCACATACATCTCCTTAAAATAAATTCTCTAATGGACCCATAATAGAAAGCATTACTAAATCATGATCCTTTGTTTGCAGATTTATGATAGTTTTGATCTCAGTTTTCAGATTGAAACCTATCTTTCCAAAGATCACACCTGTCGAACTTGGTGCCTAACCATGTTTCGAGTTTGCAACGGTCCAGTCAAAGAAAGGGGGATATATAGATTTAGTTTTTTGTAATCTGTCACGTGACCACTAGCTGTTCCTATTTATAGACTTCAGGAAGCTCATAATCAATGGACGTGAGAGAGAGAGAGACAAGAAAAAGGTGGATAAACGCATGACCAATCATGGTTTAATTTACATCAAATTCCCGGTGGTGACTCCCCAACAAGGTTTCTTCGCAATAATATTTCTGATTTCCCATTCCATTATCTCTTTGGAAGTAACCCGTTACCATCCAATCTTGTTTTGAATTGATGTTCATTTTGTTATCTATATTTTCATGGTAATAATGTTATTGGAGTGCTCCAAGATGTGTTCTTTTGACGAATACTGTGTATCCTCTATAAGCCTTAGGTAGAATTGTGTAATCCCGTTATTTTCTTACTAGAAGATTTTCAAGCAAGACCACATTTCAATCATTTTTGGTTTCAACCATTTATTTACTCATTTGGTGATATTAATATCTGTGGGAATATTTGCTGCAGACAAAATCATAATTTCATGATTGTACACATTTTTAGAAAGAATTTCAGTTCCATACAAAACCAAATTGAGAAGAACCAATCCAGCTAATTAAATCATACAACTCTTATATCTATTCATATTAAAATT